CCTGTCGTTAGCCAAAATATCATTTTTAAGCAATGCTAACATAAGGCATAACTGTGTGACGTAGCCATTGGTACTTTTGTTTATTCTCCACAGGAGGGGTCTCAAGCTCAGATGAGGTGGGGGTCACTGTTGCCTCTGCCATTATTGAAGGGCCAAAAACTGACAGGTTACATTATACTGACATCTAGCTTCAGGCCTCATGGGGGTGCTCATGGGCTGAAACTGGCCTGTGGGCCAACAGTTTGAGATCACTGCTCTATATATCTTTAATTCAAATGTAAACCATGTCATTGAGGATGAACCATTTCTGGAAGAGTTTCTATGTTGTGATTATCCAGCTTAACAACATACTAACACTTATTATTTGAGGAAACCTCCCACAGACTCCTTAATTGGAGTTATTTTGTAACCAGATTAACACTTAATTATTTCATCGTGTACCTTGAAAGTACAACCACCATGGCATAAATGTCAATGGCACAGTCTGCTACTCTCTTTAGGACAAACTGCTCATCTGTAAGACAGAGAAAATAACGTGTTAACATATTTTTCAAAAATTAAAAAAAGGATAAACTACCATGAAACAATGTTATAATTTCTTTTTCATTCATTAAATCAAAGCCCGAAAGATCACCAGAGACTGAGCGAGGAAAAAAATGACTAAAAGCAATACCTGGGGATTTTATCTACACCCACAAAATCTCACCTTCTCTCCGTCTCACACACACACATGCCCACATTCGCCCAAACTCTTACCAATGATTTTCCTGCCATGTTTGACAAGCAGCTCCTCAACGACTGTTCCAAACTGTTCAATTACTTTAACTGTCTATACAAAACACACACACACAAAAAAGAATCAGTTCTTCAAAACTTTCCACCCAACAACCCACTCAGCCACATTAAAAACACCAACACTGAAAGAGTAACCTACCAGGTCACCACTCTGTGACAGTTCAGGGTGCACGGTACCCTGCAGTGTCAGGCCTGTGCTCAAACCCGCCTTCCTGCAAACACAACATTGTATATTATGTGGCGTTAATAATTGTAATTACATACGTATATGTATATAATTACATTATATACATACATACACATATATACATACCGTATATACATATATACACACACACACATATATATATACATATATATACACATATATACATACATATATATACATACCGTATATACATATATACACACACACACATATATATATACATATATATACACATATATACATACATACACATATATACATACATATACATGTATATGTAAATATATATATATATATATGCACTTAACTTTAAATGTACTGCCATAAGAACAAAAGTGTCAGAATTTTTTTATACAGTATTTACATCAAATATTTAGTGTTGGTCAAAGCAAATACAACTGAATACTTAAGGTTACTTAAGATTAAAGTTATCCTATTTTCAATGACATTGAGGGTTATTCTATTTATTTATTTATTGTTCCATTCTATTACCACAGTGAAGGTATCTAAAACCTCCATATAAAGACTGTTTGGTGAAGACTAGAGGGATAGCAGAGGCTAAACCTCAGACAACCTGAGGGCTACTGTTGCCACTTCAGTTATCATTTGGTTGCAGGCCGGGAGTTTGGGGAAGACCGACTACTAGTAGATTAAAAACAAAAACAAAACAAAAAAAAACAATATAGCCAAAGCCTGAAACATGTGACAATTTCATTTAAGTGCACACAACATCGGATGATAAATAATATTGTCTATTGTACACCATCAGCAGCTGCCTTTCTGTTCTGTCATGTGATTTGAAAGATACCGGAAAGCAGAGAGGGGTGAGTGTAAATGATGCAACCTTTTAGCCCTCTTGGAGAGTTCTCCTGCCAGCAGTACAGCGTTTCCAAGTGGGTTCTTCAGGGCCTTCTGTAGACCCTTCAGCTGGTTACCTGCGTTCTAAAGTAAAACAAAAAATATTTTTCTAAAAAGTATATATACTATATACTTCTACTATACTATATAGTATATACAATACATCTAATGATTTAAAGTCAATTTCCCTGTAGACTTGACTAAACATGAATGAGAATGACTTTGTATTACTGAAAAACACACTAGTCAGTGCAGTAGTGTTTGAAGCACATTACTGTGGATTTAGGATGTGATGATGAAGTGATTAAGGCTGCAGAAAACACTTCCTCAAACTGAAATTATCAGTTCAAATCAGTTCATTATTTATTTATTTATTAAACAAACATGACACGCTGGGCATCAAATTACCTGGAAGCCGTTGAGGGCCACAAAGAGCCGCAGGATGTCGTTGGTTCCCTCAAAGATTCGGAAGATTCTCAGATCCCTCATCACTCTCTCCACTCCAGGGTCCTTCAGAGAGAGGAACAGAAAACAAATGTAGCAACTTGTGTTTTAATTCTACAACAATTTCAGAATCAGACGGCAGGAAGAAGTCTTTGTGCATTTTTTGACATAAAAAATAATTTTCTGATCTGGTGCACATTTCACCAACATGAACAAGGATGTGAAACCTACAGCTGCACATGTAATATGAGAAAAGGTTTAAGAAAAGATTTGTATTTGAGGCCACACAGATACAATGACTACAATACAGGGGCATCAGTAATAAAGTCACACATATATAGACTATGCGAGAGAGCATATTATAGTTCACATCACCGCCCTGTGGTTTTTTCAAAGCGTACCTATCTAATGATTAAAATCTGCTTGAAAATTCTTCCCATGTGTTGCACGGTTTACTTTAAATACTGCAACAACGTGGGTGACAAGAGCTACTGTGGCAGTTTGCAGTTGTTTTTACAGACATGGCAACCGGTAGCAAGATTTTTCATGCAACAATTACATACACACAAAGTGATCACTGTAACCAACACTAAGCTAAGACTAGCTTAGCAAATATTGGAACAAGGTCCTCTATAAACATCATCCATGACAATAAACTAACACTGCAGGTATTGATGCTTTGGGACAAGGGAGGAGGGTTACAAGAAGGAAAAACTATTGCACAACTGATAAAACCAGGAAATGATGATCGTTGGGAATTTTCTCGATTCTGAGGATGTAATTAGGGTTGGAAGAAGCATGAAGACTAAACCAATAGGCAGCAAATCACAAGGTAAAGGTTTTTTTTTTGGGTAAAGAGACACTGCTGTGTACTTTGCAGCATCTCAAATAAGGACAGACTCACAGATACAACAGAGATTCTCTAAGAACATTATTAAATAGAGAGGCGGGAAATCCCAAAGTTTAGTGTCATGGTTGAGATGCGAGGCACACACGCACACACACACACACAGAGAGGGAGAGTTTCTGTTGTTGTCGTCGTCTTCTTGCTGTTCCCTTTATGTGCACATGTGAGCAATATTGCACAACAGCACCCCATCTAATCTAATTTTTTTTATATTTCAAAATATAATAAATATATGGTATAAAATATAATAACAATATATATAGATGTTATATAACTATAAAATTGTTGGGTGTATATTAATGATTTATTTACTGCCATTGTACACACAACAGAATTTGTCCTCTGCATTTCACCCATCAACCAAATACTGGGGATGAGCTGCCAAAGAGGAAGGATGAAAGGCTCTGTAATCATACTTAAATACTAGTTTTATACATTTCCATTTGTAAGATATCTTTTGAGCATCTTTAAAGAAAGGAATAACAATCTCACATCTACCTTTGATTTGACCTGCTAGGCTACACTGACACAGCTTTGCCTCATTTGTCCATTTATACCTTCACGATGACTTGGATTTCAATTTGACTTGGATTGGCAATTTCTGGCAATTCTTATAGAGACATGAAATCACTATACCAGAGCGGGTCTTTAATTTACATCTTAAGGTCTTGCACGCTTCATAAAGAAAACAAAACATTGGTCTCCAATGTGCTGTTATTTACTGATCTGACATTTGTCACTGTGGAAAGTTTCAAATTGCAGCACGCGCCAAACAAACAAGTCATGTGCTTTTGTGCCACACAAACCCTCGGTACATTTGTGACAACAGGATGTGGACGCAGGGCTCACCTTCATGAAACCCATGCCTCCCATAACCTGAATGCACTCGTCAGTCACGGTCCACGCCGCTTCCTGTGGCAATCGGAAAACATAAAAGCACATTTATACAAATGTATCTTTAGAACATTTCCAAACCTCTACTTCCTCTAAGCAACTATCCAAGTTGTGTGAGAACAATGTTCTTTTGTGCTGATAAAGCTCTTACAGAAGCAAAGATCTTGCTGATGGCAGCTTCTATCTGGAAGTCCGTCGCTCCACTGTCCATGTTGCCACTGATCATGTAGGCCATTGACTGCAAAAAGACACAGAAGATAAAAAAAAAAACATCAGCTGATACAAATGACATCTTTGATGCAACAGTAACATAAAATGGTAACTTCATAAAGGAGGTAAAATATAAAGCACACTTGTTAAAAGTTGCACACTGTGATGTATATGAAGTAGTAGTAATACTCGTGTTACTGACCTCAGTTACATACTGCAGCATCGTCATACGTGCAATCTTCTCCTGGATGGCTCCGTACGTGTGGATCTTGTGGCCAAACTGGACTCTGTTGGCTGCGTGATCCACCTGGGAAAATACATTTACACGAGAACTAAACCATTGAAGTCAGGATATTAGTTAATTATTTAAAGGAAATTGTAATAATAACAGTGTCTATGTAAAAATTAAGCAACTTAAACCACAGACGGTTGTAGTAGATTGGCTGGTCCAGCTTCTCTGTTGCTCTTCAACATTTAATAGTGTTTTCCAAACGAAAAAAAACTTCAATTGGTGGTTAAAAAAAAAAAAAAAGAACATACAATGTATGAGCATTAAAACCCTCAATAACTTCCTGTTTAGTAGCTTTGGGTTCTTTTACTGTCCTTGCTTGCTCGTGGTAAAAACAACAACAACTACTTTCTTTTTCTGCTGACAGCTGTGATTCAACAAACCCCTTAGAATATGGAGTGACACCAACTCTTTAAATTGAAACAACAACCACCAGTAAACTTTAGACTGGCAAGTAACTAACTTTGACATAAGTTAGGGATTTAATAAAGAGTATTTGGATCTTGAGACCTGTGTGCAACACATTGATATTGGTTACTCACAGCTTGGCTGATGACACCCTTCATGGTCCCTGACAGGGCAGCAGCCATGCCAAAGCGCCCGTTGTTCAGGATGTTCATGGCAATCTTGAATCCTCCTCCTACCTCCCCCAGCAGGCACTCGGCTGGCACACGGACATTGTCAAAATAGACCTCGGCTGTGTTGGACGCCTTGATGCCCATTTTCTTTTCTGGTGGGCCACTGCAAGGAAAATAATAGGACAGGAACACTTTTAGCAGGGCTAGGGGAAAAAATGAAGTCATGACAGGTGAATGAGCTTACTGTGTCACTCCTCCAAAGCTCCTCTCCACGACGAAGGCCGAGATCTTGTCCTGTACCTCCCCAGTGCTGGGATCTTTCATGGGCGTCTTGGCAAACACTGTGAAGATCTCAGCCAGGCCACCATTGCTGACAGGAGAGTTTCCAGATAAATTGTAAAACACTGCCTCCCTGTGGCGAATAAGACAAACTACCAGGTTCTTCTGTTACCTGATCCAAATCTTGCTTCCATTCAAAGTGAAATATTTTCCACATGGTGACTGAACAGCTGTGGTCTTGATAGAGGCGGCGTCAGAACCGCTGGCTGGTTCAGTCAGACAGAAGGCGGCGATGTGTTCACCTGCGGGGATTTAGAGAAGCCACGTACATCAACCCAGGACACACATTGCAGGAATAACTGTAACTGTTACAAATCCAATCAAATCGAATCTATGTCATAGTGTCTCTTTACATGAAATTGAATTGAAATTATGTCACATTTAAAGACAATGCGTTATATTTCTGCCTTAAGCTTCAAAGATAAGGAGCAAAGGCTCTACTGTCATACTGTTACTGTCATAACATAGTTTGAGCCAACATGTTACTGCAACAAAAAGACATATTACAGAACGTATATGTATGTATGAGTTTCCTGCAGTTTTTGTTTTTGACTAATAGAAACTGCGGAATTATTCATCATGAAAAATGTCAAAAAAAATGCATATTTATGTTGAATATATATATTTTTAGACAATATACAGTTACAGTTACTACAACTGACACAGTTACACATATATTTTTAGACAATATACAGTTACTACAACTGACACAGTTACCCTGACAATAATAAACGTTGTTATACCTGTGGCCAGTTTTGGCAGGTACTTCTCCTTCTGTGCTGGATTCCCAAACAGCAGAATTCCCTTGAAGCCAATGGACTGGTGAGCACCCAGAGTGATGCCGACGCCCAGGTCGTGGCTCCCGACAATCTCTACCAAACGGGCGTACTGGGAAATAAGACCAATCTGTATCAGACTCACATCAGCAATCACTTAACCATCTGCTGGAAACCTGACTGTTTAAAGGAGGATAGCTGTCACATTATTTAAATGTCAGTGGATATTTCACCAGGTTATCATTCATCTTTTTTTAAATTTTAAATAAGGTCATTTATTATACCTTTTAGTTGAACAATTTAATATGGTTTCTTGATGTAAAAATAGTTACAACCTGGTTCGTTATTTTGCTTTATACCAGCTTTTTAATGGTTGTTTTATTACTTACTTTAAGTATTAATAAAATCATTGGGGTTTGTTATACATCAAACTGTGTGTGCTCTCACACACCTGTGTGTTTGAGAGGCCCAGACCGCCTAGGTCACTGGGCACCTGCAGGCCAAAGGCACCCATCTCCTTTAGACCCTCCATGGTGTGATCCTCCACCTTCTCCAAGGCATCATTTTTAGCAGCATCGTTCACCTCCTGTGAGCAACAAAGAAAGACAGTAAAGGACGTTTACAAAAAGTCGCTGCAGGCAGAACGGCAAAAAAGTCAAATACAATGGAAAAACTTACCTCAAAGAATTTACAAACAGGGCCAACAAGCTCTCTCAAGAATTGCTCCTGCTCCTCATTGAGAGCTAGATGTGAGAAAGAGTAGTTATTCTAATGTGATTGTGGAATTCTTACTTTTATAATAAATAAAAATGTAAGTATTCTGTAAAAACCTGAAGGATAAGGGAACACTTGAGGAGTGGTGAGCTGCCCTTTGAAAATGTTGACTGCAAATGATTTGGACTCCTGCAAAATCATAAGACAGATATTGTTAGTATTTAAATGTGACATTTTTGCTGCTATTGTTTACCAGAAGCACTGAGTTAAATTGCTGTGACGACAAAGTTAACAGTCGTGTCAACAGTTGTGTCAACAGTTTCAACTTAACGTCACTTCAATGTTGTTGTTTTTAAAAGGTACAAACCTGAGCAGTTGTTTTCTTTTCTACTTTAGATGATTCAACTCCAACAGCTGCTGGCTTGTCAAGAACAGCCTGAAGACAAGACAAGAAACACTCTATAATGGTCAATATGTTCTTATCATACAAGTGCAATCAATGTTCCAGAGATTGCGCATATATATATATTTTTTTACTGTTATCACCTTAAAATGTGTGATACTTTTTTTTTTTTTAAACTGTTATCACCTTAAAATGTGTGATACGGTGACAATTAAAATAGAGCATCACAAAGAAGATATGACAAACAACATAATAATACCACTCTAAGTTAAAGTTTATGAGAAGAATATTCTTTTTTCTACAATGTCAATGAACTACAAACACTTTGATTGTTTAAATGAGGACCAAATGTTGTCTCACTGTTTGTTAAGTCCATACATTCTGGAATGGAAAAAAGGTGGCAGTAATCATCCAAAGTTATTTTTGGAAAGTACACAGCAGGACAGTCCGCCTGTCCTGGACAACTGCACTATCACCCACACGAGTCACCTTTAACAACTGGGTCATGTGACCAGTGAGTGAACCTTCACCCACTTCCACGGGAGGGGGTGTCGACGTAATGTCATCCATAACTCGGCAAACGGGGACAACAGACTTTACACTTAAACATTTCGGATGTAAGACGGACAACGGACTTTACACTTAAACATTTCGGATGTAATTAAATACAATTCACGTATGCAAAATAAAGTCGTTTTCAGACAGATAAACACAAAAATGTAGGTCAGTGATTATTCACCTGTGCAGCTTGACCGGCGTAGAGTCGGGAATTGTGACCGGCAACCACAGCTCTGGCCTGAAGCTGACCTCTGCGGATCAGACACATTATTTTAACAAATTAATACGTTTGTCAGCCTTTCTTACTAGTTTTATATTGCTTAGAATAGCTGCATAATTTTGAATAAAGGTATTGTTAAATAACCAACCTAGACAGCACTGGAGGAATTCGAAGAATTGCGCCGCACAGAGCCGGGGACCGAGACACTTTACGAAGCAACATGATTGTAGTTTAATCTAATTGTAAAACAGAGAAAAAGAATGCACGTTTACAAATTATAGGTATTAAAACGTCATCATCTGGCTAAGGGCTAAAGTAAGTGAGCTAACAGTTTCATAGCAGCACCATAGCAGCAGAAACCGAAGCGAAGGAGCCGCTTCTCAGCCCCAAAACGTCATCATCTGGCTAAGGGCTAAAGTAAGTGAGCTAACAGTTTCATAGCAGCACCATAGCAGCAGAAACCGAAGCTAAGTAGCCGCTTCTCAGCCCCGTAGCCACAGAAAAAGAATTCCATCACTGTCAAAATACTTTAATTATATTTACCACTAGTCAATTTACATGTGTTTACCTGACAAATCTACCGAAGTTCTCTTAAAACGACACCCCACAGTGTGCACACAAACCCACAGTTTCCTCAACTGACCCAATGTTAAATCCCTCCCTTCCGCCTAGGCGCATCTTGGGAAATGTAGTAAATACGATAAAAACAAATATAGAAAATAAAATTACATTTATTACGTTATTTCCGTCTAAAAACAAAGCTTTAAGCGCTTTAACAGACAATGTGTGGTGTCCAGTTGTAACTACACTTTCTTGGGGAAATGAAATAAATATCAGTTTATGTAAAAAGATACTGTACATAAAAAATACTCATAACGTCAATTCAAAAAGCAGTTCATTTTTGTTACTTCATAGGGACAAATAGAAGCAGCAAAAAGTATAGAAACTTGTGAATAAGCAATATATTTAAATTGATTTCATATTCAATTAATTTCGATTTAATATTCAATTAAATAAAGGTTGTAATTGTTGTTTCCATTACACAATAAAGAGTCTTGGACGTTACCACAGGTGTTGACGTTTATCACTACAGAAGCAGCCATGTTAGTGTGACATGTTTTTACATAAGGCCACTCCATACCCCTTATGCTTTAACCGACATCTTTTGGCTATAGGCTATCACATGTTGTGCTACATCCTTACATATGTCTGTTTATGCAAGCCAATATATTTATATATATTTCTAAAATGCTGCTTTAACTGAAGGAGGGTTTTTTGTCTTATATACCATTCACCTCCTCTTTTTTCTCTGAAGGCCCTTAATGACCACTTGCCATGGAGTGATGTCATCCTTTCATCTTCTTCTTCTTTTGCTTCTAAGTGTCATACAGCAAACAAGCATTGTCCAGTGGCACTGCTGCTGCTCTCTGTGGTTTTCCCCCCTGTTCTATACACTCCACCCTACACGGACCACCATTAAAAGTCACTCAAACCATTTTTCTTCCACTAAAATGCTTGATTTGAATTTCAGCAGATCATCTGCGCCCTACTGATGCAAACAGAGTGCAGCACTAGACCCATGTCATGAAGGGAATATAATGTAAATCTGAACAGCTGCCATTACACTTATGCTAATAATAAGGACATTTTGTCAAAAACAAAACAGATGCTTAACCTGTCAGTGTAGAAAGTGGTACAGACTGAAAACAGATGCTTAACATGTCAGTGTAGAAAGTGGTACAGACTGAACTCAAAACAAGAACGCTGGTAATAAATTTATTCTCAAAAAAACAAAAACAAAAGGTGGCAATATGAAAGCAAACAATGAGACACTGTAAAAATGTCATGTTTTTCTGGCTTTTTTTTTTTCTTTTTAATGATGACTTCATTTAGCACCTTAAAAGTTTGGGTTACACATGATTTATATAGTCACTCATACAAAAACAAATGAAATAGGTGAATAATGAGTCAGTAACATACAAAAAGAGTACAGGGAGCCAGGGCACATGGAACACAGTTACTTCAGATTTACAAAGCATTGTTATCAAAAAGTACCGCTCTTTAGGATCTTCCTTTCACCAACTAGTACCGTTAAAGTCCCATACCACAAAGCATAGTACTCCTCGAGAGTTCATACAAAGACTAGGCTACACAGTGATCACTAAACACAAGTTCACCTGACATAGTTGGACCTTGTTTCTTTTCACATTCGAGCTTGCTGTTGTGTGTTATTACATTTACCCTGGTGTTGTATATATGTACATACACAAATATATGTACATATATACACAGGAGAGTTCATTGTCAAACAATAACAAACAAAACGTTATTTGTACTTTATGAATGTGGAGTGTGAAAATGTCTCCAAAAAACACAAAGAGCAAAGGCACTTTGGAGTGTTACAATCTGGCACAGTCTGAACAAAGTATGTACAGGATTATATCCTTTTCAAGTACATGGTGTACTGGGCACCCTCTAGTGTTAAACTATGGTCTGTGCGCTTCCAGCACTGGCAGCTGAGCAAGAGAACGCGTCTCCTTAAAAGTATTTCTGTTAACAGGGATTTAAAAAACTAGAGTGCTATGCAGCTCTTAGCCATTAAAAGACTTTAAAGTAAAAGGAGCAGAATCTATTTTTTTTTTTACAGAATTTAGTAGTGTCATCGTTGCCAATACATCCAACATTGAGAGTTTTTTTTAATATTTCTCACATTTTCTTCGTCAATGTCAAACCCTGTTTTCACCAAATTGGTAACAATTGCCCTAGTTTCAATAGGCACCTGTGAGCTCAACAAGCTACTGTCAGATCCTCGTCAAAAACAAGCAGAAACCGTACACTGACTTCAACACCAAGACTATATAAAACCCAACTACATGACATCCACAAAGAACTCACTAGGGTTGCCCATGGCCAAGTGGAATGACTGACGTGAAGCGGTCAGCTCAGGAGGTACAGAGCCAAGGTCACGGGTGGGAGGGGCACCGGGGGGTCCCCCTGGAGTAGAAGAAGGCGGTGGAGGTAAAGCAGGGTGCATGGCCGTGGCCATCTGCTGTGTGTGTGGGAGAGCATGTGCGGCAGCCATGGCTGGATGTGGGTGCTGTGGTACCATCATCACCATCATGGGGTTGTAGGGTAGGATCCCTGGTGGATACGGCGACATGTGAGGCGGCTGGGGCATGCGGTGGTGATGCGAGCGCTGAGAGGAGACGTGGCTGTGCTCGCTTGGGGTGGCGGAGCCGTGGCCGCGCCGCAAGCTGCTGCGGGTGGAGTATTCTGATTCGCTGCCGCTGCCGGACCGAGAGTCAGCGCCGCCACCTTCTCCAACTCCACCAGAAGGAGATTTTTCTCCTCCACCTACAGTGCTGCCTGGACCTTTACTGCGGCGTCGATCACCCTCGCTTCTTGTCGAGCCACTGCTTCTGCTCCCTGTAGTTTGACAAAGCACTTTTTTTAATCTTAATCATAACATTTATCTGATGTATTTGTTTTGCTCCACATCCATAGCTAAAAAGACACACATCCACCAGTGCGCTCCACATAATATTTTTTGGCAGCAGAGAGCTAAAAAGACACACATCCACCAGTGCTGCGCAGTATCGTTAAAAATACAAAAACATGACTTCGCTGTATATGTTTCTTTACTGTTTTTAAGAGTAACAAATTAAACAAACAAACAAAGTATCCTACAAAGCTTCTATAGAACTTCACAAGTTAACATATAAAAATGTTGCTTAAAACAGGAACAACAGAGATGAGCTCAAAGTTTAGGTATGCTTTGACAGTGGGTAGTAATTGCTATCATTCAGTGCATAACTTGAAGTTAACGGGCTGTATGTGTAGGAAAACAAACAACGAGATCAACCAATGATAAACAGACTGAACTTTGCAGCTGCCTCTATCTGAGCAGCTGATCTTACCTTCACTGTGCTGGCTGCCTGTGCTGCCAGGAGCATAGCTGTAGCTGCTGAGCTCGTGGTACGGAGGAGGCTGGCTGGAGTACGGGTGTGTTGGGTAGGGCTGGTAGGGGAAGGTGTGCATCATGGGCCAGGGAGTGGCACCAGGGAGCGGCAGTGGAGCCAACGTGTCCTGGTCTGAGGCCCCGCTAGAGCCATCATTGTCATTCAGGGACAGATTGGCCATGTCTGTGTGAGAGGTTAAAAAGCAGAAATGTAATTTGACCAACTCTTTGTAAGGTTTCTTTTCTTCTTTTTCTTTATTCTCATTGACGATTCTTAATTTAATTTAAGTTAATTTTTAAATAATAATTGTCCTGGCTGCTGAGGGATTTCCATGCTGCACTCAGCAGTATATTTTCCTCAATCTACAGTTACATGGGATTTCAACCCCTGGCCTTTATGAAATCATTTTTGTTGTTTTTAAGTGAATCGGTAAATTGTTGTGCCATTTCTGCCAACTCACAGTTCTCGCAGTCGCTCAGGTCTCCAAAAACGTAGTAGCACTGTTCAGAGAAAGTGATTTTGTTGACAGTGTGCCGAATGAAGCCGGCCTTTAGCAGATTGCTAGCGTACTTCCTGGCTTCACGGCGGTCCTGGAATCCTTCTATGTGATGAAACAGCCATTCAACAACGTCTGAGCCTGGAGGTGGATGCCGAGAAATTAAAGAGAAGCAGAGTTAGGAAGTGTGCTTAAAAAAGATTGTTATGAAATAAATGAATACAAGTAATCAATTACATTTTTGATGCTATGTACTATAACTTTTTAGTGTTGGACAGAGAACAAGTCTTTCAAATCAAGTCAATAGGAAGCACTGCTAATCTGATTCAGGCACAAAAATATGCATAAACATTTAAAAATTAAACCACATAATTTAAAAACACCATTCAAACACATTTTCTCAAAGAAAAACTTCAGTGTTTTTTGAAAGTTCAGTGACCATGAAGTAAACTAATATATCCTGTTACCTTTCAACATCTTGAAGAAATTACTATTTTACAGACAAAAATAAATAGTCACTCTCAAACATCAACTCATAACTCATAACATATGAGTGTCTCATCACCCAGGAACTGCTGGATTAGCCATAATCTGGTCCAAACAACAATAATGGTAAAGTCAGTCAGAAACTGTGCAGAACAGAAAACCTCCTTAAACCACTACAATGCAGACAAACACTGTTTATTTCATGCTGCCTCGTGATTCTCCTGCAGGTGATTCCAATTTAACAGCTGTTTTCAGTCAAAACTTCCCACGAGTCACACAGCTCTAATTCTGTGAACATAATGGCTGCCCTGTTAAACTCTGCACAGCACACAGGATTTGTGAAGCAAGAGTCCTCTCTTGTTTTATTTTCTTTTTATTCTTTTTTTAACCCTCTCTTACCAAGGAAAGCGTTGGGAATGGTGATTTTCAGCCACATGCGGTCCCTGACCTCCAGACCAGACTCCGGTGAGGCCATGGCTTTGGCAACTGATGCCATGTCTGAGTGCAGTGATAGGTTAAAGTCATCAAAACCTGCAGAAATGAAGAAGATAAAGATGTGTTGGAAATATGAAGAGGAAGCAGAGTAGACGGGTAAAGATGAATGTTAGGAGGACGGAGATGAAATCAGAACTGGGTCAAAACAAAATGTGCAACTCTGGAGAAGATCAAAGGGTGCAGACATTTATCACATCGCATTACAGCCGAGGTGGGGTACAAAAAAAGGAAGAAAAACAGATGTGAAAGATGATTCCTGTGCCAGAGTAGTTACAGGAGAAAGATGGATGAGTAAAACCTAACAGGAGGAAGATACTTTACAGTAAGGATCATCATTCAGGGACAGGAATATCGACAGACTGACAAAGAAGGAGGGTAGAGTTTTATCAACAATTGTGTGGGAATGAAAGAGATGAAAATAAAGAGGGGAGGTTGGTTACAAGGTGTAATTACAAACAGGAACTCACGCTCAGTCTCAGTAACAGAGGAGGAAGAGGTGATGGTGCCTGCGTAAGGAGGGTACGTCCCGGTCATGGCCACAGAGTGGCTGACCCACGCCGCGGGGTCGATTGGTCGGATCGGCTCATCTGTGCCAGGAGAGAAGAATTCAAAGAAAGTTCATACAGAGGTTTACAAGAGCAAAAACAGTTCATCCCTGAATGTAATGCAGCTTTTAGTACTTACTACGAGGGAGAGTGAAGTAGCCTTGAGGAGACGGGTCCCAACATTTAGCCACTGTGAGAATAATGGGCCTGCAAAAAAAGGAAATAATAAATAAAAACATTGGAAAATTATTTTTGTGATGTTTAAAAAAAGAAAATAAAATGCAGATATACTCACCCTGGCTTGTGTACGATCTCTCTCAGCACCCGCACGGCGTCATCATTACTCATGTTTTCAAAGTTGATGTCGTTCACCTTAAATTAAGAGATTAGAAAATGTTTGGCACAAATTAAATTTCTTTTTCAATTAATCCATATCTACTAAATGTTTTTGTTTTGAATGAGGTTTTAACTCATGGCTTTTCTCACTTGCAGCAACATGTCACCAGGCTCAATGCGTCCGTCTGCAGCCACTGCTCCTCCCTTCATGATGGAGCCGATGTAAATGCCTCCGTCTCCCCGTTCGTTGCTCTGACCCACGATACTGATGCCCAGAAAGTTGTACTTCTCTGTAAAGGTAAGAGACATTTCACATGAGAACGTATGCCCGAGCCGTAATGTTATGATCTAGTAATGTTGGAATTGCACGGACCCATGTTGAGAGTGACTGTGATGATATTTAAGGACATTGTGGAGTCTGTCACACTGCTGAAGGAGGAAGCCTGTATTCAAAAATAAAAAAACAAATATTCACTATATTATCAAAAAAAAAACTTAGAATTTTTAAGACAAATTTTTAATTGCAACCAGCTGCAGGAAATCATGAGAAAATGTAGCAGCTGTAATTACCCTCTCCAGACGCGGAGGGCGCTGTTTTCTCCGTCGACGGTGCCTCTTTAAAAGCCTGGAGGCCGTACTCTGCTCTGT